CCGTCCTCGTCCTTCTCGTGGTGTCCCGCGCGGCAGCGTCCAGCGACGTGGCCTTGGCCCCGTCGGCTACCTATGCTCCTCTCGACGAGTACGAGTGTCAGTCCAAAACCACCAGCTGGCTCGAGGGGCAGCGGACGTGGTGCTGCGACCACTACAACAGGGGATGTACCCTGGAAGAGGTTTCTCTGTTCGACTGCAATGACAAGTACGTCGAGTGGGAGGATGTCTGGTCCCTGGACAAGAGGGTCTGGTGCTGCCAGCACAAGGAGAAGGGGTGCGGCCAGAACGCCACCAGCCAGGGCGTTCTTTTCGACTGTCAGCTGGACAACGCATGGTCCGACGAAAAGAGGGCGTGGTGCTGCCCGCGCTCTGGGGCGGGATGCCCCACCACCACTTCGGAGGTGCCGATGCCGGCCAGCCACCCAGAGGGCCCCGGGGCCCAGGAACGAACCAAATGGACCCTCCACAGGCGACGACACACAAGCAAAACCAGGCCGAAACATTCGACATGTGGCTTCTCGGGCCTCGGGAGGGTCTGTCTGGTTGCTCCTCGGCTGGGGTGGCCCGCCGACCGCGGTGCAGGTGTCCTTCGACTGCGCGGCTGGGCTGTCGCAGTGGCAGGCGGATTGGTCCTCCCTCAAGCAGGAGTGGTGCTGCCGCCACCAGGGCCTCGCCTGCCCCGACCCGGCGCAGGCCGCTGGCGGCAAGCGCCCCGATGTGCTGGCAGCGCCTGCCGCGCCGCCGGTGCTGGCTCCGGCGCCCAGCGCCCTGCAGGCGCCCACGCCGCTGCAGGGGCAGCATCCGCCGACGCCGCCGCCAGGGCAGCGACCGCGGCCACCGCCGCAGGGGCAGCCGCCAGCGGCGGTGGCCGCGCCGCCGCCGGGGCAGTGGCCGCCGCCGCCGCCACCGGGGAAGTGGCCACCGCCGCCGCCGACGGCGCCAGAGCCGGAGGCCTGAGCCCACCGTTGGGGAGGCCGAGCGCGGCACCGAGCAGAGGTGCCCGGGGAAGGGCTCCTCGGGGTCCTGGCAGCACACCTGTCGGGACGACCGGCATGGGGGCGAACGGCAACAGCGGTGGTTCTTGCCCCTCTCGAGCAGGGCTCTCTGTCGGCGCCACCGCGGACGTTGTCCGCTCGAGACAAGTTGCCCCCCGCCCCATCGCGGCCGCCGTTGGTTTTGGCCAGCATGTGTTGTTGGGCATATCGGACTCGTGTTCTCCGTGCCCAGCTCGGGCGTGGCAATCTGTGGGCGGGTCCGTGGCATCAGCGACGCCTCATGGGGAGCCCGTCGCCCTGGGGAGGGAGGGAGCGCTTCTGCACCCTTACCAGGGCGCTCCGTGCGCCGACGCGTGTTAGCTGATCACCACCCACCAAACCACCCCAACCCAACCCGAAGGCCTCAATTTATCCTCGATTTCCAGTGGGGGGGGGGTCGGGGAACGTTGAGAAAACACATGGAATCCGTACCCCCCCCAACCCGAAATTCGGGTCAAATTCGGGTCTTCGGGTTGGGTTGGGGTGGTCTGGTAGGTAGTCAGCTGAGGCGGGCCTCTCTGGGCCGACCGCGAATGAATAATTCATGTGTGCTATGGCGCGCTGCAGCGGCTGCCTGTACGTCTACAGCTTGTGTCAACGATGTCCTCGTCTTTCTGTGCGCTCGCCTTCTCTTTCTCCTGTCCTCTCTGAATGTTCCCGACCCCAGTGCTTCATCCGCCTCCTGCCCTCGCCTCTGTCGTTGCGTTCTCGCTTTCCTCTCCTCCCTCCTCCCTTCTCCCCTTCTCCTCTTCATTCACTTCCCTTCTCTCTAAAGCCCGTGGTGGTCCAATAACACCTAGACCCACCAAAGCATCAAAGCATCCTCGCACACGAGATATCCGATAAACTGCCCGCGCGTAAAATATTCAGGCAGCGCGCGGGCGGTGTGCTGACAGCAGTGGGTGGCGAAGGCCTTTCGCTTCGATCTGCACCAGGAGGTCTCAATAACTTTTGTCCTGGGCTCAATGTGCGTACAGTGCGAAATGCGGCCTGCTAGCACAGCCCTCTGTGGGGCCTCTGACGCAAATGGCTGCGGAGGTTGGGAAGAGCTGCTGTAAACCGTTTTCTTCAGGCTGTTCGAGTCGTGTCGTCTGAACGCCGCCAGCGACCCAGAATCGGTCGATGTGGAACGATCCGACGCTTCGGAAACGGCCGATCTTTCAAGGTTTAAGGATCCCCGCACAGGAAACAACGCCGAAGTCGGCACAACGCAAACCCGTCGTGCTCCCAGTGTTTTTCGCATAGGCTCGGTTGGGTGTGCTGGATTTTGGCTGGTGCCCGGGTGGTGGGTGCCTCGTGGGCGCCTCGTGGGCGCCTTGGGTGGGCGTGCCGTGGTGTCGCCTGGTGCCCACCCGTGGGCGTCTCGTGGGCGCCTCGTGCGCCCTGTGGGCGTGCCGAGGTTGTCGCCCGGTGCCCGCCCGGTGCCCGCCCGTGGGACCCCGTGGGCAGTGCGTGGGCGCTTCGTGTCACCATAAGGCTTGCACCACACAGCTCCCACCACATAGCTTCAACAACGGACATGCTACCGCACAGGATTGCACCACGCAGCTTGAGCCACATAGCCTGCGCCGCAGAGCTCGCACCGTACAGCTTGCCCCGCATAGCTTACGTCACACAGCTTGCACCACATGACTTGCGCCACGGCTTTCACAAATGACGCATAGCTCGCACCACGCAGCGCGCACCGCATAATCTACAAACCCTGCGTGCAAGAAATTATTGTTTTGAGTCCACGCCGGCAAACATTCTCCATCTTGTATATACCCTGTGCTTGCAGTATGGGTGTCCTTGTTTCGATCCGACGATTTGTCTCCGAATCTCGAGTTTTTGCCAGGTCGCCCCCCGCGCGCGTCTCGTGGACACCTTGTGCGCCAGCTGGGGCTCGTGTGACTCCTGTGTTTTCGCACGGCTGCAGTCAGCGGGCACCTCGTGGACGTCTCGGGCGTTGGCTGAAAGGTGAGTTTGCCCCATCGCCGCCCGTGGGCCCGTGGGTTTCTCGTGGGCGCTGCGCACGTTTGCTGGGTTCCCTTGGTTCTTCGCCTGGTCGCCATCCCTGGGCGCCGCGCGGCCGCCCTGTGTTTCTGTTCTGCCCACTGCTCCCAGCGGTATCAGTTTTCCGGCGAGTACCACCATGATTACCACTAGCCCTACTCCTCCTATTACTATTGCTATCACCATTATTACTCCCACGACTACGACTACTACTACAACTACAACTACTACTACTACTACTACTACTACTACTACTACTACTACTACTACTGCTACTAGAATTACTACTACTACTACTACTACTACTACTTTTACTACTACTACTACTACTACTACTACTACTACTACTACTACTACAACTATCACTGCCACTACTACTACTACTACTACTACTACTACAACTAGTTTTACTAGTACTACTACTACTACTACTACCACTACTACTACTACTATATACTATTACTACACCCACTACCACTACTACTTACTACCACTACTACTACTACTACTACTACTACTACTACTACTACTACTACTACTACTACTACTACTTAATACTAACTACTAACTACTTACTACTTACTACTTACTACTTACTACTACTACTACTACTACTACTATTACTACTACTACTACTACTACTACTACTACTACTACTACTACTACTACTACTGCTACTACTACTACTACTACTACTACTACTACTACTAACTATTACGACTACGACTACAACTACGACTACGACTACGACTACGACTACTACGACTACTACTACTCATACTACCACCACTACTCCTACTACGACTACGACTACGACTACTACTGCTACTACTACTACTACTACTACTATTACGACTACGACTACGACTACTACTACTACTACTACTATTACTACTACTACTAGGACTGACCTTACTCTTCTTGCCCAACTTATTCACTGGAAGGTTGGAAGGGTGTGTGGTTGGGATCTTGGGCGGGGGGGGGACCGCCGCGCACGAAAAGTAACGAAAACCATGCGATTACCATAAGATCTACCATACGGCTACCATAAGATTACCATTAGATTACCATACGACGACCATACGATTACCATACGACTACCATACGATTACCATACGACTACCATGCGGTTACCATGCGATTACCATACGATTGCCATACGACTACCATACGGTTACCATACGAATTCCATACGATTACCATACGATTACCATACGCTTGCCATACGATTATCATACGGTTGCCGTGCGATTACCATACGATTACCAGGCGACCACCATACGACTACCATACGATTGCCATACAGTTACCATACAGCTACCATACGAATGCCATATTGTTACCATACGACTACTGTACGATTACCATACGACTAGCATGCTAGTAACCTGCGACCACCATACCATACCACTACCATACGAGCACCATGCGATTACCATACGATTACCATACGGCTACCATACCACTACCATACGATTGCCATACGCAAACCAGTCGACCACCA